AGAGAGAGAGAGAAAGAAAGAAAGAAAGAAAGAAAGAAAGAAAGAAAGAAAGAAAGAAAGAAAGAAAGAAAGAAAGAACTGGGACTATAGTTTAGTGGTAGAATACTTGCATCGTATGTAAGAGGTCCCAGGTTTAATTCCCAGAACTACATTCAAAAGAAAAACAAACCAGGGCCTGAAGGAGGGCAGCCAGAGGATCGGGGCTAAGCCAGCTGAGGTCAGAGGTTGGGGGTGAAGGCAAGACTAAGGAGCCCCTGAGCTCATCTCTCCTGAAAACCTACACGAAGCCCACCCCTCTCAGGCCTCAAGGAGGTCCACGGCCCCACACTTCTTTTGGAGGGATCCAAGAGCCTTCGTCTACTTCAGCCAGGCACTCCGGAGCCTCAGGTAGATGGTGTGGGACGAGGTGAGCAGGGGGAGGTGAAAATACCACCGCTGACCCCACTCGTTTCTGCAGGAACACTGCTTCACCTTTGACAGAGTCCTGGGCCCTGGTGCTGCTCAGGTAGGGGTTCTGAGAAAGGGACAGGAGGAGAGTGAAAGCTCTCAGCCTCTGCATCCTGGGATTCTAGCTGGTCCAATCTTTTTGCTCAGAGCAGGCTGTAACAGGTCACCTGACAGAGGGATGTGCCTGTGTGTTCCTACAGGAAGCCGAGCTGGAGCTATTGACACAAATCCGGCCAATGTTGGCCTCCGTGGGACAAGGATACAGTACAGCTCTGCTGCTCCAGGGCCGGGAAACAGAGGCACCCCGGTTTGTGCCTCAGGTGAGGAGCCTGAGGATACCAGCACATAGGTATCCTGATGTTCAAGTATTACTTGGGAAATCTGCCTGCCCACTCCAGCCAGACTAGGGACAGCTTAGGTCTCCTATGTACCCTGTGGTCCTTGAAGGACATTTTACCAAGGCCACTTTATGCAGCTGGGAAGTCAAGAAAGATGGACAGCTGTGGCTCTTGGATGAGAGATTCAGGGAGAAGTGGCACACACAGATCAAATTCCCAGGACATCTGCCTTCCACACTTCTTGGTAATACCACGGATACTACGCTTAAAAGCTTTACGGTGAAGGTTTCATCAAAAGACCTTCAAATCAAAACAGCTGCCTCAGAACCTCACCACAACCCTGCCCAGCAACGGGAAAGCCTCCTGAAGAAGCCTGCTAGTCTGTCTTTCTGCCTTCAGGGGATGAGGGGTCTAGCACACTTTCTGTTCTGTCCACCACGTACCCAGTACCAGCACAGGGCCTGTTTTAGATTTCATTTTCAGGAAATGCTGAAGGACAGAATGATGCTTTCTCATCCCCCACTGAGCTCCTTTCTCTGCCTTAGGTCCTGAAGATGCTGTTTGAGGAAGCTCCACCTCTCTGCAGCTCTGGTCCTGTGCTTTGTACTCTCAGCCTGGTGCAGGTGAGGTCACTGGGGGTGGGGCCAAGAGAAAACCCGGAGGGCAGAGCGGAGTGTCACCACAGGAGCCCCCCTGAGGCTTGTGGAAAACTGGAAGGGAGATGGGTCCAGCCTCACCCTGCTACCCCAGCTGGGGCTTGACTCCCTGGGGTCACCTTAGCATGCCAAGTGTCAATGGCTGAATTTTGTGAATTTCTTTTTTTGTTGTTGTTTGTTTTTGTTTTTGTTTGGTTTGGTTTGGTTTTTCGAGACAGGGTTTCTCTGTGTAGTTTTGGTGCCTGTCCTGGATCTCCCTCTGTAGACCAGGCTGGCCTCGAACTCACAGAGATCTGCCTGCCTCTGCCTCCCGAGTGCTGGGATTAAAGTGTGCCACCACTGCCTGGCTAATGGCTGGATTTTTGTCCTCACTTAGCCCTTAGGACCTAGAGGAGAGAAAAGGCTGAGTTTGTAACAATTGTTTTTGTGTGATTCCAGATTAACCCCAGTGGGCAGACTCGGGACTTGCTCTCCCCATGCCTGGAGGACCTACCAGTACTGGATGTGGCCCCTCTGGGCTTGTAAGTGTTCAGACCCAACGGGACAAGGGTGCTTGCCTTAAAGCCACAGTGATGCCTTCCAGATAAACTTTTGATCAAGATAAGCTTCAAGATTAGGAGGTTTCTACTCCGTTATCCCAGGAGAATGAAGCCCTGAGCTTGGAGTCATGCTTACTGGGCCTAGATGGGCTCCCAGGACCTCTTCCCCACCCTCTTTCCTTTCCCACACCTATACATCTTATTCCCTTCGTATCAAATATATTTCAGCTCTCATGCCAACCCTCATGGCCTGAACCAGTCCAGTATCATACCGAGTGGTTCCAAACACCTCCCAGAACAGTTTTTCCATCTTTGAAATGGTCCCAACTAACCCGTTTCCCTTCCTGGGCAGACTACAGGGGAAAAAACAAGGTTAGGGAGATGAGAGACATTTAAGAAGGGTATAATGAGCTCCGAGCCTTTGGGGGGATTCTTGTGTGCTACGGACACGGTCATGGGCTTTGAACACAGGGATGCCAGAGGTTGCTGCAGAGCACAGGGGCTAAAGGTCGGTGTTCAGCTTCCCCTTCCTTCAGGGTGGTGAAAGACGCCGGTGAGGTGGAGGTGTCTGATGCCCGAGCTGCCTCTGCGCTCTACCTGAAGGCTGCTGGGAGTGACGGCAGGTGAGGGTGGGACACCTGTCACCCCTCCCACCCCCAATCCCTATACAGCTCCAGGTTTTATTCCCAGGCTGGCCATGTCCTCTGCAGGGCCTGCTCTCTGCTCACTCTCACCATGTCCCGCCCTGGGCCTGAGACCCAGCAGGTGTGTCGAGGAACCTTGAGGATCCTGCAGCTCCCAGGAGGCCCGTAAGTCTGAGGAGGTCTTGTGGTTGGTTGCACTGGGAGGTGGGGTGGAGGCCAGAGTATGGATGTGAAGCTGAATGTTCAAAGCCAAGATTGGAAAATTCCCCAAGTAGCTAGCCCATCTTCACGCCCCATTCATACTTTTCCTTCAATGTTAAAAAAAAATAATGAAAACTGGGGGTCGGAGAGATGGCTCAGTGGTTAGAGCACTGGCTGCTCTTCCAGAGGTCCCAAGTTCAATTCCCAGCACCCACACGGTGTTTCACAACCATCTATAGCAGAATCTGATGCCCTCCTTCTGGCATAAAGGCATGCAGCGGATAGAGCACTCATATACATAAAATAAATAAATAAAAATAATGAAAACCTCAAGTTATCACAGCAAATCATCTTTTCAGGCCAATTTGCAAAATGTGTAGTATCACAGAAATATTTCCAAATTCGGAAGTGTCCAAATACAAGATAAAAATAAAAAAGAAGGCGGGAAAGTAACTTAAATTTCAGAGTATTCTAAGGTTTCTTCTTTCTTTTATTGTGTAAGTTTCTTTTTTTAAAAAAAATTCATTTATTTTTAGTCATATGTCTGTGTGTGTCTGTTTGTCTGTATGTGCATCACATATGTCCAGTGCCTACGGATCTGTCCAGTGCCTACGGATCCCCTAGAATTGGAGTTATAGGCAGTTTGAACCACTTGATGTAGATACTGGGAATTGAACTCAGGTCCTCTGCAAGAGCAGCAAGTCCTCTTAACTTCTGTCTGGTGGTACAAAAAAAGTGAAAATAGACTTGGCTGGGTGATTCGGGCCAGTGTTCCTCCTCATCTACCACAGGGCACCGCCTTTCTTCCCTCCCTCTGGCAGAGACTGCCCCCTGCTGCGCGTGCTGGCTGGTGAGGCTGGGGAGGAGGTGGAGGGCTCTCTGCCCTGGACTGTCTCCTGGCTCCTGGAGGGAAACACCTGCAGTAGCCTCCTTCTTCGTCTGGACCTGCGAGGTGGTGAGGGTGGGGGTTCTGGGACTTGGTAGACTCTCTCCATGTTATTTCTCAACCAGCCACTGTCCTGTTGTAGCCCAGAGAGAGTGCTTGATTCTCTGGGTGGGCCAGCATTCAGGAAGGCCAGGTCGTGGCCAACATGTAACTGTCAGAAGACTCAATCCCTTAACCTCAGAGATTTTCAACAACTTAACCAACTTTTCCTCTCCCCCTCTTTGGGGCAGGGTCTCCCCATGTAGGTCAGGCTGTCCCTGAAGTACATGTGCAGTCCAGGCTAGCTAGAACTCATCATCTTTCTGTCTTAGCTTCCTGAGTGCAGGGGTTAGAGCTGTTTGCCACCACGTTCAGGATATTTTTTTTTATTTGTTTTTCCAGACTGAGTTTCTCTGTATAGCCCTGGCTATTCTGGAACTCACTCTGTAGACCAGGCTGGCCTCAAATTCACAGATATCCACCTGCCTCTGCCTCCCCAGTGCCGGGATTAAAGGCATGCACCACCACTGCCCAACCACATTCAAAATCTTTATCAAGCATTTTAACACCTTTTCTCTTCAATAAGGTCTCACTGTAGCCCAGGCTGGCCTTGAACTCCTGGAAGTCTGCCTGCCTCAGCATCCCGAGTGCTGGGATTGCAGGAGTAAGGGGCCACATCCCAGAATGCAGAGCTAATTCACAAATGAGAGGGAGGCAGGCCTAATTCATATATTAGAAAAGGACCACAGAGGAGAAAACACTTTCCCGTTTTCACAAATCCACAATGAATGAGGCCCCTGAGGCTGTAATAATAGAGCTTTGGGGGGAGGTTCCATGGGGGACACAGGTCAGACAACAATGTCACTGGAGCTGAGTTTGGTGGCACATACCTGTAATCCCAACACGCAGAAGACTGGCGTCGGAGGCCTGCAAATTCAGGGCTAGAGTGAGTTACACAGCCAGATGGTCTCACACAAAAAAGCCTGGAAACAACAGCAACATCATGGAATGGTTGGAGAACAGCTTAGTGGTGAGCACTTGCCTAGCATGCACAGAGAAAGTCAAATAGGAGTTATTAGTGATGATGGTGGTGATGCTGCTGCTGCAGATGAAGATGATGATGATGGTGGTGGTGGTGATGATGACTATGAAGGTGATAATGATGACTTTGGACTGGGGATTGAACCGAGGACCCTAACACATGCCAGGCAAGTCTACCATGGAGCTACATCCCTAGCCCCTTTTACTTGTTATTTTGAGATGGGCTCACTGAGTTGTGAAACCAAGCCTCGAACTTGCTATCCTGCCTCAGCCAACCAGAGCGGCTCAGGTGGCAGTGCTGCGGCACTGGACTTGGCCAGGGCTGGGTGTTTTGGTAAACAGCCATTGATAGAAATTTGGAGTATTCCAGGCAGTGGGTTCTGTGGCACAGGAAAGAGAAGTCTACTGTGTTGTTTCTTTCTAGGGAGCTCTCTGAGTTTGCTTCAGGCTGCTCTGTCGGGGGCCTCAGAAAAGAGGGTACAGGCGAAAGAGGTGAGGCCCACCCTGTGGAATGCAGTAGAGGAGATGAGGGCCCGTAGGGCCACCCTGAAGACACTGCGTTTAGGCCTCCTTGGAGACACCTTGACAGATGGTGGGTTGAACCAACTAAGAAGGACACTCTGGGAGCTACAGGTACGCAAGGTGAGACGGGGCCCCTGGGTCAGAAGTGGCCAGTTCCCACTTGGGTCTTTTTCTCCTAGGTGGTAAAAGCCCGGGGCCCAAGAAGCCATGCACCTAAAGGGGCTAGAGCTGAGACTGTGGGACTCCCAGAGCCACAGGTACATTTTCTCATCCAAACTCTTGGGGCTCTATCTATGCCTGCCTCCCTCCTCTTTGCTTATAGACTATTCCAGTTATTTATTGATTCCCAAACATTTATTGACCATGCACCATAGGCTGGGGGCAGAGCCATGTTAGCCCTGGCATTTCTCTGCCCTGGCAGAGTTTAGTCTGAGAAGAAACAATTAACACTGCCATGGTCAATGCTCTGAAAGGCTTGGCAACACCTGACACTAGGGGACATCAATATAGCCTTGAAAAGAGAGGAAAGCAAGATTTCATAGGAAGTGATTCCCAATGGAGGTTTGTAAAGACAGTGAAGAATGTTCCAGGCAGAGAGAACCATGCAGAAACTGAGACCAGCAGATCTTGGGGAACTGCGGGCAATTTAAGTTGCTGGAGAATGGAGGCAGGAAGAGGGTCAGAAATGGATTGGAGCTGGAGGCAGAGGCACACAGGCTTTGGAAATCCGCTGAGACATCCGGATTGTCTCTTGAAGGTTAAAGGCAAGCCACCGACCTACAGCGTGCAGGGAAGACATTTCGCTCATTTGTCAGGTAAGCACACTGAGACTCAGAAGAGAGATGTGTGTAGTCCAGCGTCACAAACAATCTCACTCTCGGCCTTGGAATGTGGTGCTTTAATCCTTCCAGAGTTCTCAACCTTCCTCATGTTGTGATCCCCGACCATAAAATTATTTTCATTGCCGTTTTGTAACTGTCATTTTGTTACTGTTATGAATTGCAATGTAAACATCTGTGTTTTCCGATGGTCTTAGGTGACCCCTGTGAAAGGGTCATTTGACTCGCTAAGGGGTCGAGACCCACAAGTTGAGAACCGCTTCTTTAGACAAAGCCTTCCTTGTCCAAAAGGGGGCACTGTCTTCTGGGATTTGCTGTAGAATGATTGGAAGGAGCCTCTTCCTTCCCTTCCCTCCCCATCCCCCACAGGGAAGTGTGTTACTGTCCTGAGCTTTGGTTACATTATGTAATTCATCCCCTCTACAATTTGTGTGTGTGTGTGTGTGTGTGTGTGTGTGTGTGTGTGTGTGTGTGTGTACACTTTGATGTGACTAATGACATTTTCCTCCAGAGGCAGGAAGAAGAGAATTTCTAGGGTCTGGGCTCCACCAAAAACATGCTCTCAGGCACTCTGAGGAACAGGTAATATTAACACTTCACGTACTCCCAGAACAACTGGAAACTTGGGGGAATAAGGAGCCTGTGTGGATACTGGGAAGGAATATGGAGCTTCTAACAAGGACCTCAAGGCTTCCTGGATCTCTTAGGGGGGGGGATCATGGGAGGAGCTGCTGTCCTGGGATGGATTATAGTGATAGGACTCTTTTTTTTTTTTTTTTTTTTTTTTTTGGTTTTTCGAGACAGGGTTTCTCTGTGTAGCTTTGCGCCTTTCCTGGAACTCGCTTTGGAGACCACGCTGGCCTCGAACTCACAGAGATCCGCCTGGCTCTGCCTCCCGAGTGCTGGGATTAAAGGCGTGCGCCACCACCGCCCGGCGTGATAGGACTCTTACACTATGACAGCACCAGGGGCAGAGGAAATCCTCCCCCGACCCACAGCCTCCTGAGTCTGCTCAGTCTATGGACTCTCCCAGGCCAGTTAGAAGTTCTGTTGGAAAGGTCGGTGTCTGTGTTCCAAATGTATGCATACCCTGCCTTCTGACTAAGCCTTAAACGATGCCATTTAGGCCCGTCAGGCCCCAGATGTGGCTCTGCAGTTCTCTCTGGCCCAGGCTCGGAGGCAGAGACTTCGAGAGGAACACCAGATTTGGATCCAGGAAGAGCTGAAACATCTGGAACATCAGGAGGAAGTGGCCTGTAAACATATTAAAGGCCTGGTGGCAGAGGTGAGGAGGGAGGGAGAAGGACGGGCCTTGAGGCTCCCTGTACCCAGGCCAGGCGCTGTGGCAAGGATCTAGACTCAGTCATAGCAGGCTGGTCCACATGCCTTATGGGGACAGAAGAGGCCATGTTCAGTGCTGTTCGCCATGATGGGCAGCCATAGGCAGATGGGAACAATGAGGTCCACTTTACCTGGGCTGGAGTGGACCAGAAGAGACTGGGTCTAAGCAGAGACTCAAAACTAGAGTCAGCCCAGGAATTCACTGCATTCAGCTCTCGAGGGCAGTTAGCACTTGCTCATCAGGAAGGCTCTCAGTAAATGACTGTTGAGGAAATAAAGCCTGTATCCACAGAAACAACTAACCTGGCTCAGAGGAGCTCACAGAGTCTGGACCAACAGCCAGGGAGCCTGCATGGGACCGACCTAGGTCCTCTACATAGATGTGATAGTTATAGCTCGGTCTACTTAGAGACTCCCAACGATGGGAACGGGGGCTGTCACCAATACTTTGGCTGGCTCTTGGGAACCTACTCCTTATACTGGATTGCCTTGTCCAGCCTCAATACAAGGGGAGTCTTACCGCAACTTGAAATGCCATGCTTTGTCATGGGAGGCCTGTCCCTTTCTGAACAGAGACAGAGGAGTGGACTGAGGGGAGGGGGGCGGAGCAGAGGTGAGGGGAGAGAGAAGGGAAGGGAAACTGTGTTTGGGATGTAAAATAAACAAATAAATAAAACTGCTTTAAAAAAAAAAAGAAGAAATAAAACACGTGGCCAAGTATAGTGGTACAGGCCTCTCAGTACCCAGGAGGCACAGGCAGGAAGATTGTGAGTTCAAGGTCAGCCTGGCCTATAAAGAAGAGCCTGTACATCTTCATCCTCTCCCTGTAAAAAAAAATAATAATAAAATAAATTTTAAAAATTGTGTATGTGGTGGGTGGGGACACGTTCTCAGATGAGGCTAAGTAAAGAGGAACGATAGAGCAGCAACATTGGCTCTGGGACACAGACTGCTCCATCTGGCTAGAGCCTCGCAATGGTGAAGTTGGGGGCAAGGTTACAGAGACAGCACGCCACATCTCTGGGTTTGGATTTCGCCATGTGAGGACGGGAGCTGTTGAAAGCGTGTGCCATTTCGGCTCCGTCCCGCACTAGCCATGGGCATTTGGTCAATCGGATCACTTCCCTGATGCACAGATTCTGCAAATCTGTAAAAGGGAAACTTTCTTACAAGGTTGCCAGGGAGAGAATGAGATCACGTGCCTGAGGTATTTAGCACAAAGCCCTGCACAGGTGGCACTCACCGAAAGGTACAACTTTATCCGCAGGCTCGTGAGGAGAGAGAGAGACCGTGGAAGGAGCAGACAGTGCTGAGACTTCAGGTGGAAGCCCTGCAGGCAGAACGGGACATGGCAGAGCATGACCTGGTGACTCTCTATGACCTGTATGTGCAGGCCACCCGAGCTCAGACATGCCACTTGCTGCAGGTCAGTGGAGACAGAGGGTAGGCCTTAAGTTGGTGCCAAGGCTGATGGACCAACAGGCATCTCTGACTCTGAACACAGGTATTCCAAGCCTGGCAGAGGCTGTGGGAGGAGAAGGCCGTGGCCACAGAACACCATCACCGCAGTCTGCTGGCTGGAGTCCTCCGAGACTCCATTGATCTGGCCCTGAAGACCCAGGAGCTCCAGGCCAGGAACCAGCAGCTTGAGCAGAGTGCAGGCAGGGCCAGTTGTGCTGGAGTCCTGCCTGGAGAGGAACCTGATCAGGACCACCATGGGGCTGCCTTCCTTTGTCCTCATTCATGAGGATCCCAGAAAGGAGAGCAAGGTGGGGCACATCAACCAAGATGGCCTTCACTACAGATCACTACCACCACCACTGACCAAGTCTCCCTGTACCAATCTCTGCGAAGCACCCAGTACCTATTATTTCATTTTGCGTTTTCAGCTCCCCTGTGTTTGTAGCATTTGATGCTCATTTCAGAGATAACCCATCCTAGTAACTGCCCAAGGACAATGAACTAAATAGAAAAGGAAGAGTTCTCTTCCTCCTTTTCCTCCTGTGCTAGGGATGGAACCCAGGGTCTGCGCATGCCAAGCATCTTCTGGAATTGGCTAATATACCTAAGGATGACCTTGAATTACTGGCTCTCCTACCTCCAACTTCAGAGTGCTGGGATTACAGGCTGGCACCAGGACAACAAAAGAACTCTCGAAAAGCTCACCCAGTGTTCTAGGGAGCAGGCTGACAGTCCTCTGGCCAGGATTTCAAAGGACAGACAAGTACAGGTACAAGTCGTGACAGAACCAGAGGGAAGAAGAGTCAGAACAGTGGCTGGGTAGGGAGTTTCATGAGCACAAACTCTGCACTCCGGAGTCTGAGGTAGGAGGATTGCTTCCAATTTGAGGACAGCCTGGGCTATCTAATTCATTCCAGGCTAGTATGGACTACAATGTGTTTTCTAGCCTAATTTGCTCTAATGAGCAGAATACTTTTCAGTCCCAAGAACCTCTCAATTCCTCAGGGCTTGTGATTTAAACATTTTTTTTTTTTCCAGTGCTGGGGATCAGACACAGGGCTTGCACATGTAGGCAAGTGCTTGTCTATTGAACTACAACCTCAGTCCTTCATTTTCTTTTTGAGATCAACTCTAATGTAGCCTAGGCTGGCCTTTCACTAAAAAAATATATTTTTAGCCAGGCAGTGGTGGTGCACGACAGCATTCAGGAGGCAGAGGCCAGCAGATCTTTGTGAGTTCCAGGACAGCCCGAGTTGCTATATAGAGAAACCCTGTCTTGAAAAAACCAATGTGTATATTTAATTATTTGTTTGTAGGAGGCCACAGGTGTCAGATCCCCCTGGAGTGGAGTTATGGGTGGCTGTGGCTGCCTGGGAATCGAACCTGGGTCCTCTACAAGAGCAGCATGCAATCTTAACCACTAAGCCAGGCCCACCTGCACTCTTGCTCCTTCTGTCTCTGCCTCCCAAGGAGAGGTACAAGTTTGCATCACTAACCCTCAATGCTTCCTTTCCTGAGACAGGAGCTCATTAAGCAGCTCAGCCTGACTTTGAACCTGAGCTCTTCCCGATCTACCTCCCGGATGGCTGGGATCCCAGGTGTGCCCCACCATCACCGGTCAAGACAATCTCAGATCCAGAGCTCCCAAGACAACGCCACTGGCAGCAGCTGGGAGATTTCTCTCCTATTCTAGATGTTACTCCAAAATTACTTAGGAAACTCAGGGAAATTGTTTGAGGGGAGCCACGAAACATAGAAAATACAGACAATGTGAATGGTTGTAGGAAGCACCCTACACCTGAACACTTTATTAAGACCTTATTGCTTAAGTAGTTGGACACTGATTAGCTATAAACATTTTCTGTACCTGGTCCCTGGTTACTCTGCAGAGCCTTTCCTGGCTGTTGGGAGCTGGGACACCACTAGAAGGGGGCGAGAGTGGGAATAACAGTCCCTCCCAAATGCCTCAGCGGTGAAGTGGGCTTCAACAGAGCCCTCGAGTTAGCACAGGGGTCAGGAGTGTAGGCTTAAGCCAGGGCCCAGGGACAATGTTCCCTGAAGTGAGTCAAGACCCAGCCCCCTCTGACCTTTCCAGAATAATGGCTGGGTAAGAGGAGCAGGCTGTGGAGCAGGCAAACTAAGTATACCTGATGTGGAAGTCATGCTGGGCTGGAGCAGCCAGCACCAAGCCTCAGGGCAGGGAGTCTTCAGGAGTGACCACGCAGGGGAGAAGAGCGAAACTTGACTTGAAGTAGCCATGTTCATGCAGGACAAGGCAGGGTTCCTCAGGGACAGGCTGCCCAGGCCTGGGTTTGGGGCTTCCAGTTCTTTAGTATGAAGGACTATAGGGGTGCAGTTAGGTGTTTCCTTAACCAAGCCCACTCTTTATGCCACCTAGGGGTAACTCTCACCCACCTGAACATCCAAAGGCTAACATGGCCACCTTAGCTTTTCTTACAAGGCACTTGTTACAGGGCTGCTGGGGTGGGGTGTGGTGGTGACGTGGGGGTGGTCAGGGCCTTAGGGACTACCATAGTACAAGCACACAGCCAGGCCGATGAGCAGTGTGGCCAGGAAGAAGACGGCTGTGAGCTGGAGCTGCAGCAGCGCAGCCGAGAGCACGGCGTTGACCACCAAGGAGCAGGACACGATGAAGAGGCGCGTGATGCTGCTGCCATGCTTCATGACAGCTGACATGAGCAGTCCATTTACTGCCTGGTTCAGCACCACAAGCACCGCCCATCCGGAGAAACCCTCTAAGAAGCCTGGGCCTGGGCCACTGCCAGCATAGAGTCCAAGGTTCAGGATCACCCCGAAAGTGTAGAGGAAGAGGTTCTGGAGAGCCAGGGGCAGCCGCTGTCGTTTCATGACCAGTTCTGTGTACACCGATGACAGGCCGGAGATGAGGCAGTACAAGATGAGGAGCGCAAGTCCCAGTGGAGTGATGTGCAAGAGCATGGGACGGGTTCCGGCTGCTGATGGGGGGCCAGGAAGGGTGTGGGCAGGTTCCTGAAAGCCGCCGGATGCATAGCAGGCTCCCGCAGCCATCAGCAGCAGCAGTGCCAACCCCTGACGCGCCGAGAGGCGATGCCCCAGGCACAGGCAGTACAACAGGGCTGTGCTTCCAATCTTGAGATTGCTCAGCACCTGATAGGTGCTGGGGTCCATGTAACGCTGCAGGTAGATCACCAGGTTGTTGTTGGCGCCATAGAGCAGGGCTGATAGTGCAAAAGGTGCAGCCTGGCGCCAGGGTGGTGTGCCCTGGGGCCATGATTGCCAGCCCACCAGGAGGGAGAAGGCGCATAAGAGGAGTTTGGTCAGCTCAGTGAGTAACACAGCTGAGGAGGGCCGGAAGGGCACTCGGCCATCCACGTGGCACAGTGCTAAGAATGGTGCATGGGCACCATACATGGCAGTGGACAGGAAGAGCATCAGGGTCCAGCGAGCCTGTCTTGGACGGGCAAGGCCTGGCATACCCCCATCTTCTACACTCATGGCCCACACCAGACCCTGGGTGGCCTGTGTAGCTAGCAAGGGACAGAGGAACTGGGACACATTGGAAGGAAACTGAGGGCAGAACTGTGGGACATCACCAGAGAGAACGCTGAGGATCAGAGTCAGCCACACATTCCACAGTCAGGGCTTGAAGAGAGGGCTCATGTCCCACAGTTTGGGGGTTAGTCCCACGGAACTAGGGATGGAAGGCGTGCAGGCTGCAGGCTGACAAACCACTGCCCACGCTCTGCAGGAAAAAAAGCAAGGATGAAAGAGGCAGGAGAGGTGGGGACAGCAAATGAACAACAGGAGGGGGAGCCAGAGAGAGAGTCTGTGATACAAAGGCCTCTACCTGCAGGCCCCACGTGCTCATCCTGCCTTCCCCGGAGGGTCTAGTCAGGCCCCTTTCGCAGTGACCTAATGTAGTTCTTCAGCGTCTTCTCCACGTTGGGTACAGCGTATGACTGGGCCACATAGATGCCAGTGCAAGTGCCCACCGCAAAGCCCAATACTGCTGACGCCCTCAATCTGGCCACCACATAGCCTGCCAGGAATCCCTTGAGGAATGGGGAGGACAAGAGCGAGCCATCCTGCGGGGGAAAACACAGAAGGAAATCAGGTGTGCTCTCTTTTTAAGATGGGCTTAGAGCATTCGACCACATGCTCGTCCTCACTGCTGACAGCTGTGCTCTTTTCTCCAAAGATTATCTCAAAGTTCTGGAGCTAGAAAAAGAATGCCAGAGTCCCAGTCACACGATACCAGAATCCTAGGTTCAGAGGGCTTGAATCAGAACGCATTCAGCCAGAATGCCAGAGAGGCTTCTGAGGAACCTGAGCCCTGCCTGTTTCTCCAGTTTCATTTACTAGCATGGTCTCTGATGACTACGAACTAACTGCCTTTCTCCTGCTGCACGTTCAGATTGCTGCTCATCGCCACAGCTGTGGCTGTGCAGCACTTGCAACGCTCAGCCCCACTTCACCTATTTAACACCTACTTAGGATCTCAGCTCAAATGCTATTTTTTCCTCCCCTGTTGGTTTTGAGATAAGGTCTCTTGCGTTTAGCACTGGCTGACCTACAATCCTCTACATGGACCATTTTGGCCTTGAACTTGTGTGCACCACAATACCCAGTTCAAGTGCTTTTTTTTCCCCCCTCAGGGAGATTTTTCTTGAGCCCTCAATGTCCATTTGCTACAATAAAACTCCATCTGCTATTCAACATTCCCAAGAGCAACTGGGGGCCTTACCTGGCCTACACCACTGTTGACTTCATCCTCCACACGCTTCTGTAGGCGCTCCAGCTGCTTCTTGAGAAATGTCAGGTCCTTAAGCTTGGGCAGAGAATCCTAGGACAAGGGAGAGGCTGGCTCCAGCAGACTTGACCCAGTCCCATGCCCTGCTCAATTTTATCAGAGGCTAGGAACTAGGTGAGCTGTGGGAGGGATGATGGGAAGAACCAAATAAATCTCTTCCTACAAAAACTCCCTGAGATGGCAATGATAAAGGAAGACAGACACTGGAAAGCTAAGCCCTCACATGGGGGCCAGGGAGGTGACAATGTGCATCAGGAACTTTTTTTTTTTCTTTTCCGAGACAGGGTTTCTCTGTGTAGTTTTGGAGCCTGTCCTGGATCTCGCTCTGTAGCCCAGGCTGGCCTCGAACTCACAGAGATCCACCTGGCTCTGCCTCCTGAGTTCTGGGATTAAAGGCGTGCGCCACCACCGCCCGGCTGCACCAGGAACTTATAGTAATTCTACAGAATCACAGAGCAAGCAGAGGCACTTCTAGTTAGCTTTATGAAGGAAGTACTGTTGATTGAAGGACAAGCTTGCCGAAAATGGCCATTAGTCTGCTTTCACTGCTGTGTCCCAGTATCTGACAGAGAAACTGGCAGGCTATGAATAAATCTGTGGGTGATGCTGGGCTTCTAGACCAACTGTGAACAATGGGTTGAAGCAGTTTCCGGTACAGTTCAAGGCTAACCTGATATCTGCTTAGGCCGTTTCAAACTGAATGAGACTACGTGGATATGTAGTGAATACCTGTCAGCAAGAGTGTGATTAGAAGACTCGGTCTGGTGGCACGTGAGAACGAAATCCAACGAGTGAGCAAGAAGTGCTGAATGAGGGTGGTGGTAAGGGGGGAATGGAAATGCTGTCTCTGGAGGGGAGACTTCAGGGGCTAGACAACGGCCGGAATGAGGATTGTTACAGTGAATACATTTGAACGTGTGCTCCTGAGTAGGTACCGTGTCACTTCCCAGGAGAGTAGCCCTTCGCCTAAAGCCCCCTCCTGTTGAGGCAGTTGACAGGAACCCAGGGACAAAACATGAATTACCCCTGTAGTCTCTGCTCAAATCTAAAAAGGGTAAGGAATCTGAAAACCACACCGACCGAAGCAGCCCTCGCTTTCAACTCACCTTGTCATCCGCCATCTTTCCCCCCGCCGAACTTGTTGCGCACGCGCAGCCCCGCCTCCCTGTGGCAAAGGCTACTTCCATCTTTACTGAGGGCAGAGGCACTTCCGGGGCATTTCGGGCGGAGGGGGGGTACGGGGGGAGGCGGGGCCTTTTCCTAGTTGCTCCAGGCTGTGCGGGCAGATACGGGCCACCGGACCCCTCCCGGCTGGTCCTAGGCCGTGTACGCGCGCGGGTAAAGGTCGTGGCGTGATGATCTCATGCTCCACGCGATGATCTCATCCGCGCCCCGGTGCACATAGTGCACGTCCTCGCCCGTCTTCCGCCGTCTGAGGAACTCACAGTTGCCTACGGGTGCGGAGTTCGTGGTGTCGGTGCGCTTCGTAGGACACACGCACCGAAACGCGCGAGGACTCGGGGGCCCAGACGCCGCGGCGCAGGCAGTTCAGGCCCGCCTCTGCCCTCCCCCAAGGCCGGCCCAATCCCGCCCTGTGTGTGCGCGGCGCCAGTTGGCCCGGCGGTCTCCGGCGCAGAGGCTGGGCTTTTGGGCCCCCGCAGCTCCGGAGGTCGCCCTGGGCTGAGAGCGCAGGCCGTCAGAGGCTATGTTGGGCAAGGATTATATGCTGGCCATCATTCTGGTCAACTGCGATGGTGTGCACCGAGGGTCCGGTTGGGAGGACCAAAAACTGAGGGGATATGAGGGGTGGAAGAAGGCTACCCGAGGCTCAAACACGGGGTGGGGGTGGTGGCGTCTCGGGAATGAGAACCAGGGGATAAGTGAACCTTGATCCTTGCATGTGCTGCCTTTACGACTGGGGAGTTGAGATCTAGGTTTAGGGCTGTCTCCTGTGGGATGGAGGGAGGGTTATGACGGTGTTGTTGGGAACTCACGAGAAATATGCCCCCTTGATTTAATCCCTTGTTCCTATAGATGACTTGTGGGGGGACCAAAATCTGGAGGGGGAGACAGGATTACCCCCTGGCTGGAGAAAGATTCGTGATGCTGCAGGTACTTATTATTGGCATGTACCCAGCGGTAGCACTCAGTGGCAGCGCCCAACCTGGGAACTAGGAGGTGCAGAGGACCCAGGAACGGTAGGTAGAACCAGAGGAGGGGGCCTGAGCTCATGTGTGGACCTAGGCCTGCTGCTACAGTGACTAATCTCTACTCCATAGGGGACGGAGGGGATTTGGGAACTTCGACCCCCCAAGGGGAGATCCTTCTCCAGCCTGGACAGTTCATTGAACCGGAGGTAACAGGGGTGGCCTTGGCCAAATGAAAGCCTTGGGGTTACTGTGGCACTCAAAAGACTGAAGCTGTACCCACAGTCTGCTTTTTTTTTTTGAGACAGGGTCTCAGGTCTCACTGTGTATATAGTCCTAACTGGCCTGGAACTCATTATGTAGACCAGGCTGGTCTGGAACTCACACAGATGATACCGCGCCTGCCTCCACAATTTGCTTTTAAACTGTGGTTCTGGGCCGAGCGGTGGTGGAGGCAGAGCCAGGCGGATCCCTGTGAGTTTGAGACCAGCCTGGTCTACAGAGCAAGATCCAGGACAGGCACCAAAACTACACGGAGAAACGCTGTCTCGAAAAAACAAAAACTGTGATTCTGGACTCTGCCCGTTTGGGGCTCTGTTTGTGCTTGGCTTTGTCCCATGTTCTTGACTTTTGAGTATTTTGAATTTTGTCTGTTCCAAGTTCTTATCATTAGCTCTATGTTCTGTGTTCTCTGTCCTGACCCATCATGTTCTAATAGACCCTGTCCATTGGCTTCATTTTTTTTGGGGGGGGGGTGTCCCTATTCTGTGTTCTAGAATCTCTTGTTCTAGTTTGAGGCTTTTGTCCATATCTAATTCATATCCATATTTATGTCTTTTAGTTTATGCCTGTGTCTTGTGTCCTGGATTTCTTCAATTTTTAAACTCATTTTGTTAATGTACTATGTTCTGGGTCTTCCTTTTTTTTTCTGAGTTTGCATTTGTGGTGCTATATTTTGGTTCTTGTCCCAAATTCTGTGCTTGATCAAGTAGGCTAGGTTTCACCATTGCCCCTAATGTAGGAATCCTAATCCTTTTACTGGCTCCACTCTGTTCCAGTAACTCTCTAACATGGTATGGTGAAGATTCCTATGTCCGGAGCCTGGAGCCAGGAGCTAAGGTAGTGTTTGGACCTGATGGCCAGTTTAAGACATTAGGAGATGTCAAGGGAAAGGTCAGGGGTAGAATACTAATGAGTGGGATTAAGTGTCAAAAATAGGACTACCAGAGTTTATCTGTATGGATGCTGTATCATCCACTTCACATCTGGTCACTTCTTTTTCCCTATCTGGTCAGTGCTTTGCAGTCCGATCTCTGGGCTGGGTAGAGGTACCTGAGGAGGACCTGGCACCAGGGAAGAGCAGTATTGCTGTCAATAACTGTATCCAGCAGCTCGCTCAGACTCGCAACCGGAGCCAGCCCCATGACGGTGCCTGGGGTGAGGTGAGTTGTTTTATTTCCCTAGGGGTTCAGAAGGCCAGTGGCTTAGCAAGGTAAGTTTTCCCTGAATTGCTTGTTTGCCATGTTAGCCATCTTCAGCTGTCAACTCTCTGTCCTTGGCAGGGCCAGAACATGTTGATGATCCTGAAGAAAGATGCCATGAGCCTGGTGAATCCCCTGGACCACAGTCTGATCCATTGTCAGCCTCTGGTTCACATCCGTGTCTGGGGTGTGGGCAGCTCCAAGGGCCGGTGAGGACTTCTGCGGTCCCCTAAGCGAGAGTTGCATCACCCTCCCCCCTTGCAGGCTGTGATCCCCACTGATGCTGAACCCTTGGACACAGATCCTCTGATGTGGACCCAGCATGGCCTTCCCTGCCTGGTTCAGTCCTGGTTGGGGTGGGTGGGCCCAGCTCAGCAGGGACAGATAGGGGAGAGTCTGAGAGGCTGGGCTGATTTTATCCTGTGCTCCCACATGCTTCTGGAACAGTGACAGGTATGTGACAACTAGGTACTCTGAGCCCTATCCCTAACTTCCCCATTCCAACTGTGCCATATCTTTAACCTAACTTTAGAAGCTTCTTACAGGCACTCAGAAGCCCCTGCCCCTAACCAGCCTTATCCCTGCCCCTGCCAGGGACTTTGCCTTTGTTGCGGGTGACAAGGACAGCTGTATGCTCAAGTGCCATGTGTTTCGCTGTGATGTGCCTGCAAAGGCCATTGCAAGTGCTCTACAGGGACTCTGTGCACAGGTGAGGGCCAGTGGTGGGCAGGGAATATGGAGTTGGGATGGGGTGGGCTTGGCCCCTTGTCCTGGCTTCTCTTTCTTTCTGTGTGCCTCATGCTGGCTGCACTGTATTTTAGATCTTGTCAGAGAGAGTAGGAGTCAGTGGAGAAGCTGCTTGCTGTTCCCCAGATCCTATTTCCCCTGAAGACTTCCCGAGGCAAGGTATGGGAAAGGGCTTGCTGCATTGCAACATCAGGCTGCTTGAGTGAAAAATGGAGGTGGTAAGGGGCTGGGGTTCCTGGTGATTTAGCTTCTCCCTGGAGAGTCTAGATCCAAGATCCAAAGCAGTGAATTGAAGGTACATCTCTAGGTTTTCTTCTACTAGCAACAGCTCTAGCTTGAGACCTGGCTCATTCATTAGGGTAGAGAAGCTAGGCATGGTGAGGCATGCCTGTAATCCTAGCACTTGGAAGGCAGAAATAGGACTACTGTCAAAAGTTTAAGGCCAGCCTGTTCTTCATAGTAAGTTCTAGGCCAGCCAGAGCTGGTTACATAGCGAAACCTGTACATAGTAGTGTAGTCCTAAACTACACCACAGGAAGGGTGGGAAAGGGGCAATTGAGTTTCTATGCTAGATTGGTGCTTGATATGTGTATTTCAGTGGAATTGCTGGATGCAGTGAGCCAGGCTGCTCAGAAGTATGAGGCACTGTACATGGGGATCCTACCAGTCAACAAAGCCATGGGTGAGGACTGGGGGATGGTGGGCTCGGATGTGTTAGGAAAGGGAAGATGGGTGAGGTGAGATCTATACTGTATTGAGTCTTAGAGTTCTTGCATGGCCTTATATAGTTTGAGATATACCCATGCTTCCAACTCAGAATTCCAAGCTTAGCCCCAACTATTCTTTTCCCATCTTTCTGAATCCCAAGTTAATTAAAGGGTCCTAGAAACTCCCTGCAGACCCTTTTTATCCAAGCCAGACAGCACAGTAGGCATGTCTCCTCAGGTATGGATGTGCTGAATGAGGCCATTGGTGTCCTCACTGCCCGGGGGGACCAGAAAACCTGGGTCCCTGCTATGCTCAGTGTGTCTGACTCTCTGATGACTGCACATCCCATTCAGGTACCACAAGAGGTCGAAGCCTGGGGCTTTGGAGGGTGAGCAGACATGCTTGGGGCGGGGGTGTCTTTCCTTGGTTCTGGAAGTATAGGGTCTGGCCATTGCTTAACTCTATAGTGATTAGGCTTTGTGTGGGCAGGCAGAGGCCAGTGCAGAGGAAGAGCCACTGTGGCAGTGCCCTGTGCGCCTTGTAACCTTCATTGGTGTTGGTCGTGATCCACATACCTTTGGCCTCATCGCTGACCTTGGTTGTCAGAGCTTCCAGTGTGCAGCCTTCTGGTGCCAGCCTCATGCTGGGGGACTCTCTGAAGCTGTGCAAGCTGCCTGTATGGTGAGTTAGGGATGGAATGGGAATGGGAGGGGGTTTTCCTGGCTGCTGCTCTGTACTATGGAGTAGGCTCAAGATGGGCAGCTCCACTTAAATCACAACCCAGCGATCCCAGGGCCAGAATTGGTTCACAAGTATATCTGGCTCTTAATGCTGTTTTTGCTAAGTTTTGTGTTGGTTACCAATACTTCAAAGTCTAGGGCATTTCACATAATAATTGCTATTTCTGATTGCTTAAAGTATGGGGAATACTAATACAAGGTACACACGCACAAACACTCATGGGCATACTTACATAACACCTTTCAGCATGTGGGTGAAGTTGTGCTATACAGAGTGGGCCCTATTTGACTGATTCATCATACTTCGTGGTGTATGTGGGCATTTGAGTGTAGGACGCTTAAGCTACATTAATTCAGTTCACTTATTCATTCAGCAAATGGGTATCTACTATAATTAATCCTGAGAATTCATT